TGTGTGTGTGTGTGTGTGTGTCAGTGGTGGGTTTCAAAAAATTTTGGAACCGCTTCTGTAGGTGTGGCCTGCTTTCCGGGTCCACTGGTGGAACCCCTTCTAACCGGTTCGGTAGATTTGACGAACCGGTTCTACCGAATAGGTGCGAACTGGTAGGAACCCACCTCTGACTCTGAGTCAAGATTATAAACAAATTGCAGCCATTAAACATCGAAAAGGAGGAGTCTATTGCATGGGATTGATCATTTTCTGATATCAGCTGTGGCCTAAGTGGGTTGGCCTAAAACTCCTGGAAGTCATTCATTGTGCAGCTGTGCTTTCACATCAAAGGACCTGTGTAGATGAGATTAGCAGGGAACTCTCTTCCCCCTTTGTATCTTTTTGTATAGTCTTATTAGTGAAGTTTTAAACAAACAACAATTTTAAAAGGGGGGAGCAGGTATTTAAGCCAAATTAAGAACCCCATTATTATCTTAGTTTTTTGATACAGTGTTTTATATCAATGTTTGAACTTTGCCCATCTAACCGGGAGAAACCACGGGGTGAAAACCTGCTCACTGATGAGTTAAGGAGCATTTCAAGTTTTTTGTTAAATGGTTAGTTCAGGGATGTCAAATTCACATCATCACGGTGGTTTCATGTGACATATCGGGACTTTCCCCCTCTTTGCTTAACTGGGCATGGGAATGGCCAGCCTGTGATGACTACGGCCAACAGGCCTGGAGTATGACAGCCCTGAGATAATTTGAAAATGCCTTTACCTGCTAGGACAGCTATTTTAATAAGGGACACCTCCCCCTTACCAATAGTAACTATTGGTAGTAACTACCAATAGTAACCCAAATTCTGGAATTTTGTATCTGGAACTCTCAGAATTCCATATATACCCACTGGACTTGAAAGATGGAGGATTCTTGGGCTGTGCAAAATCTGGCAGTGATTTGGGATGAACAGACATCCTTCCATTCTCAGCTGCCTCTCCTTGCCAAGCTGAAAACAAAAACTCTTTAAGAAGAGTGATCAGGACCGATGTCCAAATGCCCCAGAGTAGCATTTTCTTCTTCTTCAGACTGTATTTGTGGCATGCTTTTAGTTACCATAGTAAAAAAAAAAATGCCACTGCAAGACGGGCAGCTATATATTGATGTGATTGCTAAATCAATCAACCAATTATCTGAAAACTGCGGTGGTACTTGGTGAGATTAAATTTGCGAGTTTGACTCTCATACCAAATCCCCCAAAACCTTTGGGGATTTGATCAATACAGTCCAATGTACTCATTGTTGTTAAATGTATATTATTTATTTTTAATCTCCCATATTTTATAAAGGATCATAACAAATGAGTCTGAAATGCTGTATGAACCCAGCACCTTATCCCTATGGAGAGCGTGTGGGTTTACCTCCTCCCCACCAGCCACTCACTGAATCAGGAACTAGTTCTGTGCTGCTTGATTTTCCTTTTCAGCTAATAGGAATTTTGTGCATGTTTTGTTTTCCCCAAAAAGAAGATGAGCAGAAAGCATGCAATAGAAACACCTGCTTCATGGAGGAAAGCTTTACTGGGATAAAAAGAGAGGGTTGGAGTCAGGGGTGGGTTTCAACCGGTTCGCGGCGGTCCCCGCGAACCGGTTGGTCGGTGAACCCAGAAGTAAGTAACTTCCAGGAACGCCGAAGGGCCGGTCTTTGAAGGCTTCTGCACTTCCACGCAGGCACATGGCACATACAGCACCTGCACGATTCTCTGCGAGCAGCTGGAGCATCGCACAGGCGCTAAGACACATGAGTGAACTGTGCACGAGGACGCCGACGGCTCCGTTCCGACCGTACCGGTTGGAACGGGATGAGCAACCCACCACTGGTTGGAATGCTCAGTGAATCTAACTATAAGAACGAGGATCATGAATTCAAAGCAGCCGGACTCTGTCTGTTTATATCTATCTTAATGGGAGGGTGGCAAATGTTTGCAGAAGCAGATTGTTTCTGAATTAGTTTTCCTCAGCCAGAAACCGTGCTATGCACTGCATAGCGGTTCACTGACAAATGCGCGATAGACATATGTGCGCTGACAAAACCGCGACGGACAAATGAGCGCCGTCAAAATCGCTAATTGATTTTCGACAAATGCACGCCGACAAATGCGCGATAGACATATGTGCGCTGACAAAACCGCGACGGACAAATGAGCGCCGTCAAAATCGCTAATTGATTTTCGACAAAATCGCGATGACATATGAGCGACGACAAAATCGCGTCATCAACAAACTATAGACAGCCCAGTGAGTGTGCTGGGCCTTTAACATAGTGGGATGTGTATACGTACGTTATAACCCTAGCCCTAACATTTTTTCGATTTTATTGTGCTTGTCATCGCGCTTTTGTCGTCGCGATTTTATCGTCGCAAATTTGTCGGCGCGATTTTGACGTCGCGTTTTAATCGGCGCTATTTTGTCGGCGCGCATATGTCTATCGCGCAATTGTCGGGTCAGGCTGCATAGCATGTGCTTCAAGTGCAGGCCAGATAATATCGCCGTTGCAAAAGAGCAAGTAGGTATGTATCCTCCTTGGCAAAACATGCTGCAGGATAAGGAATAAAAAAATGATCTACCAGATTAGAAGGTCTATTCAGTCTAACCATAACCCGATTAGTCAAACGTTTTCAAGCAGCTTATGAAGGCTGTACAAAACTGATACTAAGAAATACTATACGATAGCTGTGAAATTAGTTTTTAGAGCTATTAGCCATTGATTGATTTACTCTGAATGGATTTATGTACTCATATTTGAAGTCAAAATTATTATTAAGCAGTTTATATTTTAGATTCTCCCCCCCCCCCAATTACCTGTCTAAAATATGCTTTTTCTGCTATCACAAATAGACAAACATAACAGTTTTCCAACAGAAACAAAAAATGATTTCTTATTTAATTTTTACAGCCCGTGAACAAGGGAAGAGTAATGAATGGAGCCAGTGCTGCTCAGGGTAAGCCCTGTTATATCTTTATAGCCATTCTGTCCCTGACTACTTTGGAATAAAAATAGCTTGCATTTTGTGTTCTTTGAATGTTTGTAAAAACAAACAAACACCTTAATTAACTATTTGAATGTTTTTTTCAAAACTAGCATTCTACTCACTGCCAATCTTTATTTTTACATCAATTCTTATTATCCCCAGTTACACATTCATCAGAGTACCTTTTTCCAGTATATGCTCAAGGTGATTTAAAATCTCATTTAAGAGCCAGAGGTCATGAACTCCCTTTCAATCGCTCATACCTTTCTGGGTGTTTAATTTTCATATGACAATGATAGATTTGGCAAGATAGTTTGGCTAATTAAAATGTTGTGATCCTAAAGTTTTGCTGCTAACCTATTGTCTTTTAAATATGTGAACTTTGATTCCTGTTCCAATTGAGCATGGCCAATAGCAGGGGTGGGTTTCAGGCGGTTAACGGCGGCCCCGTTCCAACCGAACCGGTTGGTCGGNACACACACACAGACAGACACACAAACAGAGAGAGCTAAATAGGTGAGAGGGGGTTGTGATATGTGCAAGAGAGAAGCATATGCATATAGGAAAATCGATTAATTTTATGAATAGGCATCTTACTTTATAGGGAAATCATTTTGATTCATTGTTATTAATTCAATTATTATTATTATTATTATTATTATTATTATTATTATTATTATTATTATTATTATTATTATTATTATTAAAAATGGCTTCTAGGTAAAGTGCATTGATATACAGTACATCTACATGTATACTTATTATAGACTCAGACTTATTGGCTGACAAATATTTACATATATATTGACTGCAGCTGAAATTGGTAACTTAATTAAAATGTGGGGATGCTGGCCATTGCACATGTGTTTTGTTTGTGTGTATAATTTGTTTTCTATTCTAATATACTGGGTGGGAGGGTGTCTTCATTCAGGGCCATCTTTCATTCAAGTAAAGATACTGTTTTTTTGTTTTTTGTTTTTTTTAAAAAAACCTCTACTTATTTTCTCCACAGTGATATTTCATTTATATATTTTACCAACACACTTATTTGATCAGCCCTTTGTTTTTATACAAAATATACAGTTCAAATTATGTGAAGACCCAGCACTCTCAAGAAGATTGTGATGCTGGGAAGAATGGAACAAAGAGGAATACCAACAGAAAAGCCATTAATTTTACCAACCATTCCTTCACAATGGGTAGCATCATTTCCCACCCATATTCTGTGCATTTGGTAATCCTGCTGTAATAATCATGTATTGAAGCAATTTTCCCTGGCTTTTTTTAATGAATCAATTAGTCACAAGAGGAAAAAAAATGGCTTCAATTGAATATTGATGTTTGTATCAAATAGTTCAATATGCACCTGAATCCATTTTTTTTAGCTTTGTTCCATGTCCATCAAACATGATAAAATGTCCCTTCATGTTGTTCATGTTTCGAACATATATTTGAAGCATATTTAAAAATTCTAGAGAACTTCTCTGGCATTATGTACCAGTGATACGGCATTTTATAAAACAAAATTTTTGAGATCATAACACAATGTACATTTCAACCCTTTAAACCACATAATTCCCACTGTATATTGTAGACAAAATTCTTAGCTCACATTATCATGAATTTTTAATATGTTCTTCTTCTGTTTTAAAATTCTACAAAAGGTTATACATTGTGGTAATTACATGTTCATCATCAGCACACAATTGTATTTCACATTCTGTCTTGATTTCCTCCATAACATAAGTCTTACTTTGCTCCATACCATAAGTTGATGCACCATTAAAGAGTTAAAGGATCAGTTAAAGGACAGATCATTTTGCAGAAAAATCTATGTAGTTTCTGCTAATACCAAATTGATAACACATCTATAAAGCAAGGCATCTTACTCTGTCTTTCCTTTGGCCCTTTAGCTTTGTCCTAAAATAATTATCATATTCCAAAGAGAGTAGCTGCAGTATTTGCAAAGAATATATATATAGTTTTATCAATACTTTAAAAATAGAATGCAAAGCTGCAATAAAACTTATGTACCATTTTATTTTCTACTGCATTTGTACACCCAAGAGAACAAAAGTTCTACTGATTTGCTTGCTTTTACGCACTGTTAACCTGCCTGCCAGTAAAACCACCTGTATTGTGAGACTGTGAATGTGGCTTTACGTTCTGCAATTTTTAATGCACATTTTTAAGTCAGTGAAAATGTCTAGGCATCAGGATACAACAACTGCTTCCAAAACTTCATTTATTGGACCTATAAAATCAATACCTTGGAGTCTGCAGTATCTGCAAAAACTCTTAACCTTTAATGGAATTCATGGGAGCAAACATGATAGCTGAGAAGGACTGAAAAGTGATGATCTGAGGATTTTAGAGAGGCAGATAAATGAGCATTATTATTTATGGTTGACATTTTGACATTATTAATTTCTTTTCTGTCTTGTCTGTTTTTGTATCTCATAGCATTGAACTGACTGCATATGCTACTTTGATTAAAAGCGAAACCCAGTTATTTGCCACCTGGTTCCAAAGACCTGATAATATCATTTGGATAGGTGCAGCAAGTATATTGTGCAATCTCATACAAATCTTCTCAGAAGTCTTATTGCTTTCATTAAATTTTATTTTAAAGTACGTGGAATCACCTTCTGCAAAAGTTTAAATATTCAACTCTGCTAGTTGGATTGGGGGCCCCAAAAAAGAGGGGGTGGTTTATAGATTAATAACAAATCCCATCCTCCCCCTTTATCCTTCCCCCTCCCTCTTCATATTTTAGCTAGCGCTATATATTGTATTTTGTATTTTAGTAGCACATTATTCATATAGTTTTGTCTTTTTAAAAGTGTAAGCCACTTAGAGTTACCCTGTGGTAAGATGGGTGGCCAATGAATTTAATCAATCAATCAATCAATCAATCAAATATATAAACATATAAAATAAATAAAACTAGTATCCAATTTGGGGCAGGAGCAATATTTTATTTTGATGAACAAATGTCAGCCAGTACATGATAGATTTTGGTGGAGTTAGGCTGATTATTTTTGCTCAGAAGAATGGTAACTTTGTGATGTTAGTGTNGTGGAATTCTGATGTCATTTCCAGTATTGGGATTCCATAGCAATGTGCCAAGATGTCTGTCTTATTAAAATGGAACTTTAAGGATAAGTTTGCCTTGGTCTCTGATTTGATTCTACATGATACTTGGAACACTGACAACTGTTAAATAACTTGGCGAAGGGACAAAATCCAGCTCAAACGTATTAAAGGAGTGTTTTGAATACTGAATATTTTCCTTAAAAAAAGCAAATATTGCAATAGCATATAGATAAACCAAAAATGTCTATTCCTAATTTTGATTCTGAATGGGGGACCACTAAAATTAAGAAATGTTGGAGTGAGAAAAAAAGGCTGACATCCTAGAATCAGACTCCAATAAGGAATTCTTAGATCTACCTAAAATAGTTTTATTACCTTAATTACAGAGGCTGAGTCAAAATGGATGGAAATGACCAGTGAATGGAAAAACAATGCTCTTCAAGGCGGTTTTAACTCTGGCTGTTTATTAGAAACATCATTTGCCATGCCACATAAACCATGATGCCCTTATGGATGTTCAAATCAGAAACTGTGGCATCAAAGCTGAAAGTTTATGGGAAGTGAATATGGGAATCACTCGTGGAAGAGATATGATGACACTTTGCTTCTTCCCAAAAAGTTTTTTTGTTTGTTTCCAAAGTGACAACAGCCTAACAGACAACAGGCAAACTTTATTAAGCCTGATCTTATATGATATATTTCAAGTGATCCTGGCTTACTCTAAGCCTGCCTTCTGGAACAGAGGTGGGTTCCTACTGGTTTGGACATGTTTCGGATGAGTAGGTGGTAACTCGGCCGGACATGCGGCCAAACCGATTCTATGCTCGGGGTGCCATCTTGATTTTCTGTTCTGCATATGCGCAAAACAATCTTCATTGGAAAAAAAATGTCTTTTTTCCCCTTTTCTAATTTTGTGCGCATGCACAGACCTTTTAAGGTGCAAATGTGGACGGGCACAGATCAATTTTTTTTCATGTGCCGAACCGGTAGTAATGCCAGCAGGAACCTACCCCTGATCTGAAATCTAACTTGTTTGAGATGTCAATGTTCCATGCAGATCCTATTTCAATTATTTAGCAGTTAGCAATAGCAGTTAGACTTATATACCGCTTCATAGGGCTTTCAGCCCTCTCTAAGCGGTTTACAGAGTCAGCATATGAATACATGTTCTCACTTTTAAGATAATATAAACACCCCCACAATCTGGGTCCTCATTTTACCCACCTCGGAAGGATGGAAAGCTGAGTCAACCT